CCCTCGCAGTCATGAAAGCATTGGGTCACTCTTCTGGTCTGGCCGGCGCTTCTCCCGGCCTGGCGTTTCTCGGCTAGGGGTGCCCGGCGCCCCCGCCCTGCTTTGTCCCTGGTGCAGCGCCCCCTGCCGGATACCGTGCTGCGCCTTTTGGGGCCCACTGCGCCCTGGCAAAGGTCGGTGAGTCCAGCCGAGTTCCCCAATGCTTTCATGACTGCGAGGGTAGTTGAGGGGGTTGGGGTGGTGGGAGGAGGTCGATGCCCCGAGCGAGGTGGGGAAACTTTGAGACTTGGAGGTCCTGTTCGCCCCAGAGTCTAGTTTCTCAAGAGTGGGCTCTGCAGAGTACCCCAGATTATCAGAGGTGCTGGTTGAAAGCGCAGTGTCTCAGGCCTGGCTCCATGCCCACTGTACAAGCCTCTTCTCAGGGCCTGGAAATGTGCGTTTAGCTAGCATCTTGGGTGGTTCCGATGCTCGTTTCTTGGAGTCTCGGTGGCTTTCAGGTAGATGATTGTAGTTTATGCACGGACTCAGACCTGGATACTCTAGTTTTGTGAACTCTGCATTCTTGTTCTCCCTCCGACACTGCAGAGAGGAGTCCTTTAGGTTTTCCTGCTGCTACTACTACATAGCGGAAATGTGGTTTCTGATTAGACATTCCTGTTGCCTTCTTCTCGGGTTTCTTCTACCAGTCCCCTAGGAGCCAAAGCTGTATGGATAAGGTACTATGGAGGCCTTTGTGCCCTGTTCTTAGCTGTAGGAGGGGCAGCAGTTTTGTTGTCTGTTTGTTTTTTTTTTCCTTTCTTAAGGTCTCTAGTGCTGCTTTAGGCCAGAGGGCTGGAGTCTACCACCTGCTGATCCGTATCCCGAAAGCCTTGGGCTTTCAGATCCCTGACTCCTTCTGGAAGGTTAGGATAGTAACATAATAACTTTATGTCAAGAGTTGGGAGGTGAAGGCTCTGTGTGTGTGTGTGTGTGTGTGTGTGTGTGTCTGTCTATCTGTCTGTCTGTCTGTCTGTCTGTGTTTACCCGGGTGCTTTTTTGTTTAACAAAGTTTCTCCCTGGCCTGGAACTCCCCAAGCAGGCTAGTTTGGCTGGCCAGTGAACTCCAGGTATCCACCTATTTTCCACCTTCCTAGCCTAAGATTGTTAGGTGAATGCTACCACACAACATTTATTTATTTATTTTTTTAAAGATAGGTCACATTATGTATCCCTGGCTAATCTGGAACTTTTTGCATAGACTAGGCTGGCCTCAAATTCACAGATTTACCTGACTCTGACTCCTGAGTGCTGGGATTAAAGGGGGGAGTGGCAATTTTTTCTTTTAAAAAAAAATAAAATATTCTATAAATTCAAATCTTTAAATTAATTTAGAGCTTAATTCTCTTTAAAAATGGGTCATGGATACCAAAGTCAGGTCCTGCTTGCAGGGCAAGCACTTTACCAATTGAGCTGTCTCCTAGCCCAGTGGATACTTTTTGAAAAAATAATTCTAATGACACTTGTTATTCAGGACCATCCTCAGCGGGGTTGGGCACTAGGGGAGAGAGACCTAGCTTGGTTCTGAGTTTATAGCAAAGCAGCCGGGTGGGTGTTGATGGATGGGAAATGACAAGGTGGAAGTACCACCTGTAACAGGATTCTGGCTAAACTTGGCCTAACAGAATTGCGGAAGACAGAGCCAGCCAACATCCCTGCAGGCTGGTAGAGGATGAGAAACCTCATCAGACATTGCAGGTGATCAGCCACCTGGAGTAGTTCTTCCTAAACTGACTTGAGAAAACTCTTTGCTAGAACTGGATTCTACAAAGACACACACCGATGGGCTGGGAAGAGGGTTCAGGAGCTTGACAAGTTGTGCCAAGCAGGGATTCTTATCTATAGATGAACTCCAAGCAGAGGAGCTGTACAAGTGAGAATTCTTTTCCTTCTTCCCAAATGCCAAGTGCCTTGAGGTTGAGGCCTTGGGTCTCCCCAAGTTCCTTTTCTGCAGCTCACTCTCCGATGTTCTTGGAGAACACTGCTCTGGCTTCACGGTTTAGCATTGTGTTCAAAACGCTTGGCTTTTGTATGCAGAGGACACTTATTCTTGTCTTGAGAATCTAGTTTGGGAAATACCCCTGGGTCTCATTTCTGGCCTGCTTGACCATCCAGGAAAGTAGCTATGAAGGCTCCCTGCTGACAGGGCCCCTCCACCTACCTGGAGACAGACCCCCAAACCTGAGCCAGCAGGTTGATCTGCTTGAGGTATGATTGGAGCAGATGCAGTCCCACCAGGGATTTGAGGTCATTCTTTCTCTGAATCTATCCTTCTGTTATTTTTTCTCTCAATTTTTCTCTTTTTGGGCTTGCTCTCAGTAATGACCATTCATATCTTCTCCATTTATTAAGAAACAAGTTAAAAAGCCGAATGTGGTGGCATATGCCTTTAATCTTAGCATTCAGGAGGCAGAGACAGGTATGTTTTTGTGACTTAGAGGCCAGCCAGGTCTACAAAGTGAGTTAAGGGCGACCAGGGCTATTACACAGAGAAACTCTGTCTTAGAAAAACAAAACAAGGGCTGGTGAGATGGCTCAGTGCTTAAGAGCACTGACTGTTCTTCCAGAGATCATGAGTTCAAATCCCAGAAATCACATGGTGGCTTACAACCATCCATAATGAGATCTGATGCTTCTCTTATGGGGTGTCTGAAGACAGCTACAATGTACTTACATGTAATAAATAAAAACCTATGGGCCAGAGTGAGCGGGTTGGAGCAAGCAGGGCCAGAACAAGTGGGGCCGGAGCAAGAGGGAGAAGGGAAGGGGAAAAAAAAAGAAAAACAAAACCAAACCAAACAGTGTGAAGTTGAGTTTGCCTCCATCTGTTCCTGCTACCAATGTTCCACCGCTTCCTTCCATTTCAGCAGAGCTTGTTTGTTTGTTTGTTTAAGACAAGGTTTTTCTGTGTAGCTTTGGCTGTCCTGGAACTAGTTCTAGACCAGGTTGGCTTCAAATCAGGGATCCCCCTGTCTCTGCCTCCTGAGTGCTGGGATTAAAGGTGCGTGCCACCATCACCCTGCTTCAGCTAAGCTTCTAACAAATGCCTCGTATTTATTGTTACAACTTCTTCACCTCCATCCACTCTTCCCTCACTACCGTTTGGCTTCCGTCCACACCACATCACTGAAATGTGTCTTGCCGGTGACCTAGTTGCTAAATTCAGTGGCTACTTTCAGTCTTCATCTCACTCAGAGGCAGCGCCAGATCCTGTTGCCTACTGGGTTTTGATTGAAACTGCTTTCTTCTAGACTGGCATGATGATGTGCCCCTGGGATTCCAGCTGTTGGGAGATTGAGGCAGGAGGATAGCAGGTTTGAGGCTACATAGGGAATTCTAGGACGGCTTGGGGAATTCAGAAGCCTGAAAAGGGACTACCACGCTGAAAAGACTCTGTGCCTTTCCTCTTGCAGCGCCAGAGGTGGAGCCCAGAGCCTTGTGTGCCTTTCCTTCTCAAGTTTGTTAGAGCCCTCTTTCTTACCGCTGTCCTTTACTTGTTGGCAAACAGCGCTGTCTGAATCCTCACTGTAGGCTTTGCCATGGCTTACACTCATAGCTTACACTCATGGCTTACACTCATGGCTTTCATACCGTGCACACATTGATGGCTCTGGCTATCGGCAGAAGACACAGGACTTTGAGTTTAGAGACCAGGACTTTACCACTCTGGCAGAGGAAAGAGAAGGGGCATCCGCATATTTTCGTAAGTTCTTGCCTCCGAGCCCTGCAGGGGCAGTGTGATGGGCCCAGATGGATACTCCACATGCAGATGGTTTGTGTCACAGCTAAGAAACATAGAGCTTGGGGAGGAGGGAATCTACGGCTTATAAAGGAAGCAGTAAACTGTTATCCTTCAAGTGTGCCTGTTAGAAGCACGCACTGAAAAGAGGCTCAGGTAACAAGAGGCAGGGTCTTCCCATCCACAAGATGTGAGAGTGTGCCACGCTTTTACCAGTGTGCATGTCATCTTCTTCCAGTGAGTATATCCTCTTCCGGAGCACTCAGGTCTCTGCTCACTGAGACAGGCCAGGGACCCTGGAGCGAGTGTTCATTGGATCATCTTCAGCACCCTCACCTGGCTAACAGAGTCTGTTAACACTGGCATCAAGACCAGCGGCTCCTTTCTGCTGTCTGGTTCTCTGGCTCTCCATGGCTCTCCAGATGCTGTGTTTTGGGTTGTGTCATTTACACATACTGTACCACTCCATCTTCTCAGCAGCTGTGAGATTTGCTTTGTTTATGGTCCTGATTTCCCAGGTGAAGAAATGGAATCTTTGCCAGGTTAAGTGATTTGCCCAAGATCTCATAGACAGGGCTGGGGAGTTGAACTTAGGTTTGTCTGAGTGGAAAGCCTGTGTTGTTAGGACTTCATACTATTCATCTTCATTTTAAAATATGTCTCTGTCTGATACACAGCTGTTCCCTTGGTTGAGGATCTGTCCATTTGAATCTATTCTCTTCTTTCTCTCCTCTCTGTTAGCCAGCTTTTCTTTATTATAGCAAGTATCTGAGAGAATCAACTTATAAAGAAAAAAGGTTTATTTGGGTTCATGATTTTATTTATTTTTGATTTATTAAAGATTTATTTTACTTTTAATTATTTGTGTGTATGTGTGTGTGTATCAGTGTATAGGTATGTACACTCCAGTCCAGGTATCCT